GAGGGATGCCAGGCGGCCCGTCAACCGTTGAACTTCCTTCACATTGCGTGGGGGCTCCATGTTGATGATGGCCTAGATTTTCTCGGGATTGGCCTCAATACCCCTTCGGCTCACCATGTAGCCCAAGAACTTGCTCCCTTGGACGCCGAAGGTGCATTTCTTCGGGTTTAGCCGAAGGTTGAATTTTTGCATGATGGCGAAGATTTCCCGGAGGTCGTCAGCATGGCTGGAAGATTGCTTGCTTTTGACGATCATGTCGTCCACATAGGCCTCCATGGTGCACCCTAGGACGGCTTGAAAGACCCGGGCCACCATCCGGGTGTAGGTGGCCCCCGAGTTCTTTAGGCCGAAGGCCATTACTAGGTAGCAGAAGATGCCCTCGGGAGTCATGAAGGCAGTTTTTTCGGCGTCTTCCTCGTGCATGAAAATTTGGTGATACCCTCGGAAGGCATCGAGGAAGGACATGATCTCACACCCTGCGGTCTCATCCACTAGTTGATCAATGTTTGGTAGAGGGAATGGATCCATAGGGCACGCCTTGTTGAGATCGGTGTAGTCCACGCACATGCGGAAGGTAGGGGGCTTCTGTGCGAGGACTACATTCGCCAGCCATGAGGGGTATTTCACCTCCTTGATGTGCTTAATTGAGAGGAGCATGGTGACCTCCTTCTTCACGAACTCCCTCCTCTCGGCGGAGTGGGGTCTTCTTCGTTGTTGTACTGCTTTTGCCGAGGGGTCCACCGAGAGGCGGTGGGTGATGACCCTTCGGCTGATTCCCGGCATGTCCTCCGGCCCCCATGCAAAGACAGTGGAGTAGGCGCGGAGGGCGTCGGTGATACCGGTCTTCAAATCTTCAGGGAGCTGGGCTCCAATCTTCACGACTCTCTCCGGCTGGGCCGGATCGAGCGTAAAGTCTTTTACGTCCTCGGCTGGTTCAGCCCTCGGCCTCTTTTCCTCCTGGTCGATGGTTCCGGTGATGGTGTCAACACGGAATTCCGTCTTGCTCACCTTCTTAGTGACCTGAAGATAGCAGGCGCGGGCGATCTTCTGATTCCCCCGAGAGTAGCCAATGCCCCCCTTGGCAGGGAACTTGAGGCAGAGGTGCCTCATGGAGATGATGGCCTCGAGGTCCTCGAGGGCTGGCCGGCCAAGGATAATGTTGTGGGCGCAGTCGATGTTGACAACGACGAACTCCACTTCGAGCTGGGCTCTATGGAGCCCGTCGCCGAAAATCACCAGGAGGGTTATTACCCCCTCAGGATCAATAGTATCGCCGGTGAAGCCGGCAAGAGGGGTCTTAATGGGCCGAAGGGACCCCCTCTCCAGATGCAGCTCTCTGAAGGTGCTGAGGTACATTACATTGACGGAGCTGCCCGTGTCAATGTAAGTTCGGTGGATGATGGTGTCGTTTATCTCCGTCCGAATCACCAAGGCATCCCTGTGAGGGGAAGAAGTAGGAGGGAGATCTGCGTTGGTGAAGGTGATGGGTTCCTCCCTCAATCGCTTTACTGGGGGCATATGAGTGACTTCCCCCACGTAAAGTGATTGAGCCCACTTCTTTCGCTGGCTGGTGGAATCGCCCTCTGTATTACCACCGGTGGAATCGCCCCCTGTATTGGTAGCGGGGGTATTCCTCCTCCTCTTCTTCCAAGTTTCCAATCTCCCTCTTCTTGCCGAGGGGGATGGTATTCGGGTTTGCCCAAACATTTACCTTCGTGTGGTGCCCTCGGGGAGGCCCCTGATGAGAAGGTCCCTCCTACCGAGGGCTCTGAACAAATTGGGACAGGTGCCCTGCTTGTATTAACCTCTCGATGGCTGTCTTTAGCTGATGGCAGTCATCGGTCATGTGCCCCTGGTGCCGATGGAAGCGACAGTAGGGGAACTGAGGGTTGATAGCGTGTACCTCCGGGGGTGCGCGAGAGTCGCGCTCAACGAGGCCCCTCTCCTCGGCAAAATCGAGGATGATGCTGACGGGGTGCGTCAATGGTGTCCGAGGGCGGTCCAGGAGAATGGGATGTGCCCAAGTCTTATGATTGCTCTTATAACCTCCCCCGGGCTTGGCTTGGTCTTGCCGAGGGCGGTCATCAGAGGGCCCTGAAGCCTTGGGACGGTGAGGAGGAGCCCCCGGCCCTCGGTTATGCTTGTTGTCAGCCCTCGGGGGCTGCTGGTCCGGATGCTGGTGATACTTCTCCACCTCCTCGGCCTCAGCATATCGGTCCCCCCGCTGCAAAGCCCTTATGTAGTCGCGGGGAGGTTCAATGATGAGGCTCCTTGAAAAGTTGCCGGTGCGGAGGACGGTTTGTAGGAGGGCCAGGAGGGTCCCGTCATCAGCACCGTCGACCTTGTCGGCCTCCGTCCTCCAGCGCTCTAGGAAATCCCGAAGGGTCTCATCCTTCTTCTGGCGTATTGTTAGGAGGTGGGAGAAGTGTTTCCTTGTGCGACGCCTCCCGGCAAATTGTGTCAAGAATCGCTGGGCGAGTTCTTGCCATGAATCAATGCAGCCCTCGGGTAGCCTGTTGAACCATTCGTACGCCGGCCCCTCTAAGGTGGAGAGGAACCAACGACACAAATATTCGTCTGACGCCCCCACCATCATCATGCTGTTCTGGTATTTGCTGTAATGTTCCTGGGGGTCCGTCTTCCCGTTGTAGGGCTGTATGTGTTGCCCTCGGTATTTCTCCGGGATCCGGGCCGCCAATACCCTTGGGGTAAATGGCGTCCGAGTCCGGAGCTGGATGAAGGGTTCCCCGGAGCCCTCGGCCACCTTCTTCTGTAATTCCTCCATTTTGGCCATCATGGCCTCGTATTTCAGGTCTGAATGAGGGGTGGAGGTGGTGGCGTGAGCTTTATTGGACTCCATTTCGTCAAGCCGGCATTGGAGGGCCGCAATAATCTCGTCCCGGGGATCCTTCAGGAGGGTCTCCGCCCCCTGCGAACGAACCCGGGCCGAGTGGGCCTGGTTGATTTGGTGGCGGGCATCATTGGCATGAAGGGGTGCCTTGCCTTTGTCCCGAGGGGGACGCTCCTCGTCTGCCCTCGAAACAGATCCCCCGCTTTCCTGGGGCCTTTGGAGTGCTTTCCCCCCGAGGCGGTCTGGCCCTCCTCCGAGCCGGTTGAGGGCGGAAGTACGGGGCCTTTCCCTGTTGTCATTATGGCGGTCCCGGGACTGAACTTCCTGGGAGGACGTATCTTGGGCCACCACCCCTTCGTCGTTTCTCACCCGAGGGGTGGGATTTCCGAAGGGGTGTGGCAGAGGGGGAAGTATGATGTTTTCCCCAACCTGGGGGTGAGCTGGAGCCAGGGTGCTGAAGGCACCCGGGTTCTGGGTGAGCGTTTGGATGAAGGCGGAGAGCGCCGATTGCACGTCGATGGTGAGAACCGGAGGGCTGACTTGGTCATCGCTCCGGTTTTTCTTCTTGGCCTCGATGCCGAGGCGGGCATCGGGGCATTTTGTTGGATCTGAAGGCGTAAGTCGACAGCCGACTGTTCCAGCCCAGCGATGACACCGCCCTCGGGAGCCCTGTGAGAGGCTTCGGGGGCGTTGACGTCGTCGAGGGCCAGGTTCTTGTCTTCTACGTTCTTTGAGTTGGCACGTGTTGTCCTCACCATTTTGATAGAGGGCTAGTGTTTTGTGTTTGGTCGAGGGGGAGGGTTTCTTACTTGATTGTTCGACCTCTCAATGAGAGCACCAAATGATGGATAGTGTACCCGGGGGGTAGCTTATCCGAGGGGTTATTGCTGGGAATAACTTTAGAGAGAAGTCAGAGAAAGTAAATGTAGAGAGAGAGGGTGTATTATAAATGTGGAGCATTTTCAGCGTGGTTACAAATGGGGAAATGGGGTGCTATTTATAGTAGCAATAAATGCCGGGCAGGGACACGTGTCAAGCGCTCATTGGCCGAGGGGTCACCTCAACTGGTTGGCGCTGGCAGCCGCATGTGGCCGCATTTAATGCGGCTGTTGGATGGGACGTCTGTGCAGGGTACGGTGATCTGTACGCATGTGAGGCGGACATCTTGTCGAGTGAGATGCCTTCGGCCACAGAGCAGTAGCCGAAGGCTCCTCCAACCGAGGGCACCTTGGTGCCGAAGGCTCACAGTACCGAGGGCTACTGTTTTCGCCGTTTTCTCCCAGTTTCTTAGTTTGCTTGAGAAACCCGTTCTGTGAGAGTTTAGACCCTTCGGCCAGGGGACCGAAGGCACCCTTGGCGCGTAGTGCGGACTGCTTGGTACTCTGGGCGCTGTGATTTGGGCCTGTTGGGCCTTTTGGGCCTGTTGGGCCTTCGCTGGAGTAGTAGGAGTCTGTGGGCCGGGGGTTCCCGGGCCATATACTCCATCAATTATAAATAATTGTATATATATACCATTGACCGGGTTTATTGGTGTTGATCGGGTTGATCCGCTGGGTCCGGGTTGACCCGTGACCAGTCATCTTCCCGGGTCACTTCCCGGTCCGGTTTTTACAAGATAGCTAATAACTATAATAGTCCGTAATAAACTACTAGCTTAGCTTGACGAAACTACAAGTGTAGGCCGGCGATCCGCGTCTTGACTTGACTGGCTTTTGTTTTAATTTTTGAACGCCGAATCTGTGACCATTCCTGTCAGTCAATTAATAAAATTGCCCGGCGGCCTCCCTCATCTTATTCTATACCATAGCTTCGAACGTATATATCCACAGACCTAGTAAGCAGGGTGGATTTAGGTGGGCATGCACAGAGGCCACAGCCCCCGTCCACTTTCAAATTTTTCTACGTCTATTTTCACAAAATTTTCACCCCCTTAACTTTAGTTTTCAAAATTAATATATAGTTTTAGATAATATAATACTATCTATCGGGTTTATTGGACTTAGACTACATGTAATATTCACAATATATTATTTATCGGGTTTAATTGTATGTTATATGCTATCTTATATTTAGGCCCAAAAAATTAGTGGTCCTATGAATATTAATTTAAGTGGGCTAATAAGTTATCTAATAAGGTATAGGGCCCAAATGTGTAGAGACCCATGGGCTTGACCTAATCAATGATGGGCTGATTAGGGTTAAGCACTCTATAAATAAGGGGTTATGGTCCCTAGTTGTACACGTCATTCTGTCTTTCTGCATCCCATCGCTAGAGAGATAATCCCGAGGGTGTGTATCAACTAGAAGACACAAACCCTAGCCTCCGTCTCCCGGATCTCTAAAGGCCATCTCCCATGGAGTCAGGTACGCTTCCGCTCAGTTAATTCTCCAGATAATTTCAATATGAAGATTAAAGTATTCATGGATTTATTCCAACAATTGGTATCAGAGCCTCCTTCATATTGAGTTATTTGGAGTATTCATATTTTTGTTTCAATCCTACACGATTGAATTTGTGAAATTTGTTTTGTTTTTTACTCAATCGTATTCATCATCTACGATTGGAGCATCAGAATGTTTTTTTTTTAAAAAAATCCGTCATATCTGTTTTGTTTTGAATGTGACAGTTCGGATTTTATTTATTTTTTTGGCACTTCAATTCAATCCCATATGGGATTAGCCGATTTACATTGGAATCGGAATTCATATGAATCTGTATTTTGATAGTCTCCAAGTGGGCCCTCTTGGCCACCCACGACCTTGGTTTTTTTTTTTGGAGAATCCCGCTCCTGTGTCGCTAGCCAATCTCTGGCAATTGGTTTATGGCAAAGGGTCATATTCAAGATGTGAACAAATCGGAGTGAGACCTTAAAGGCCTAGTACGACCAGACAGAAGCAGAATCCTAGTGTTCCCCTAGGGGATTGGCTTTCTGGTTTCACACAACTTCATCTAATCTTGATTTTATTTTTCTTTTGAGATTCAATCGACACTCAATTGATTAGAAAACTACAGTGGGAATTATAAAATTCTCTTTATGGTGTATAGATCTTGAGTGCTCAATAGTTAATCTTTTTTTTTTTCTTTCTATGGCTTTGGTAATTAAGTACATACATATGATTATTACCGATTTGGTAATTAAATACTTATATGTGATTACGGGCAAAATCAGTTCCATTAGAATTGCATATTTAGAAATAAATTACTTTTATTGGTGATCATGATTTACAGTTTAAAAATGTATTATGTGTTATGGATGTATAAACCCTAATTTGTGATCACATAAAGATTGGGTACAGGTTTTACAAATTTCGTTACACATAACACATTTGCATGTGATTCAGAAAAATTCGCCCAATTTTATTTTCAGATTGTTGATTTAATATTAGCATGTCTAATATTTGGGATGATTAATTGACGCAACATGCTGCCAAAGTAGCCTCTCTTGTTGAAATTAATTAACTCATATATTAAGATGATTGTGTACTTTCTTATTTCATGCGGATAGTAATCGGCCCAAAGGAAGGTTATTATTTGGCCGAAATTTAAGTACATTTGTGATAATAAAATTTGTGATGATTATGAAGTTTTTTCGTGTGAATATTAAGTCGGACCAAAGAAAGGCTTAATATTTGACAAGATTTTATTATCAAAATTTTATTATCACACCAAGAGTACCACTTGCAAGTCTAATTTATGTCCAAAGACAAGATTAGATGTTGCGCTAGGTATCTTGTGATGGGGATTGCTAATATTTAAATTTAAAATTAATTATAAAATTAATTTCAATTCCTAGAGCATATCATTTATATTATTTTTGTTCTCTTTCAGTCAACAATTCTGCTGCTACAATATCTGCTAATATTAATAGCATCCCAATGCTTAACGGCACGAATTTTAAGGAATGGAAAGAGAATGTTATGATCGTTCTCGGTTGCATGGATCTAGACCTTGCACTTCGGACTGAGAAACCCGCCGCTCTTAAGGACACATCTACCCTCGATGAAAAGAGGGAGATGGAGAGGTGGGAACGCTCAAACCGCATGAGTCTAATGATCATGAAACGTGCAATTCCAGAATCATTCAGGGGCACAATGTCTGATGAGGCCGATGCAAAATCATTCCTTGCCGAACTTGAAAAGTGTTTTGCTAAAAACGAAAAGGCGGAAACTAGTACTCTTTTGAGCACTCTTGTTTCCATGAAGTATAAAGGCAAAGGGAACATAAGGGAGTACATTTTGGAAATGTCTCATATTGCTTCAAAACTAAGTGCACTAAAGCTTATTTTACCTGAGGAATTGCTTGTGTATTTAGTTTTGATCTCTCTTCCTTCTCAATTTAATCAATTTAAAGTCAGTTACAACTGCATTAAGGAGAAATGGTCTCTCAATGAGCTCATTTCTCATTGTGTTCAAGAGGAAGAGAGAATAAAGCAAGATAAGACAGAAAGTGCTCATTTGGCATCTACCTCTAAGGGCAGCAATAAACGAAAAATTAAGGAAGCTGCAAATTCGGGGCCTCCAAGGAAGCATCACAAGGAAACTAAGGAAGAAACTAAGGAATCTGGATGCTTCTTTTGCAAAGGGACTAATCACAAGAAAAAGAACTGCACTAAGTACCATGCTTGGCGTGCGAAAAAGGGTATGTCTCTTGCTCTTGTTTGTTCTGAGGTTAATTTAATTTCGGTACCAAAAGACACTTGGTGGGTAGATTCCGGTGCTACTACTCACATAAGTGTATCTATGCAGGGTTGCCTGAGCTGCCGAAAACCAATTGATGGTGAAAGATACATCTATGTCGGTGATGGCAAGCGGGTTGAAGTTGAGGCTATCGGTGTTTTTAGATTATTATTAAAGACTGGTTTTTATTTGGATTTGAAAGAGACATTTGTTGTGCCGTCATTTAGGCGGAATTTAATTTCTATTTCTGCATTGGACAAATTTGGTTATTCTTGTTCATTTGGAAATAGTCAGTTCAGTCTATTTCAAGATTCAAAACTTATTGGTACTGGTCTTTTATCAGTTTATGATAATCTATATTCACTTGATATAAATACCTCATATAATGAAACCTTGCATGTAAGTACTCGTGGTACTAAAAGAAAATTAACCAATGAGAATTCATTTTCACTTTGGCACAAGCGTCTAGGACATATTTCTAAAGAAACAATTCAGAGACTTGTGTCAGATGGAATTCTTGATTCTCTTGACTCCTCAAATTCTGATATTTGTGTTGAGTGCGTTAAGGGAAAACAAACGAACAAACGGAGGTTAGGTGCCGAGAGAGCTTCAGATCTATTAGAATTGATATATACGGACATTTGTGGACCATTCCCTACACCATGTAGAAATGGCCAAACATATTTTATCACATTCATAGATGATTACTCTCGTTATGGTTACCTTTATCTCATTCATGAAAAGTCCCAATCAATAGACGTGTTCAAATCTTATAAGGCCGAAGTTGAAAATCAATTAGGCAAAAGAATAAAAACCGTTAGATCTGACCGTGGTGGTGAATACTATGGTAGATATGATGGTTCCGGTGAACAACATCCAGGGCCATTTGCTAAATACCTAGAGGAGTGTGGAATTGTTCCTCAGTACACCATGCCAGGAACTCCTAGCATGAATGGTGTTGCTGAGAGACGAAACCGTACATTGAAGGACATGGTTAGGAGTATGATTTGTCATACTACTTTACCCGATTCACTCTGGGGAGAGGCACTGAAAACTGCAGCTTACATACTTAACAGAGTTCCCACTAAAGCTACAACTAAAACCCCTTATGAAATTTGGACTGGAAAGAAACCCAGTATAAATCATTTCCATGTTTGGGGTTGTCCAGCTGAGGCAAGGCCTTATAGGCCAAATGAAAAGAAACTGGACTCAAGAACAGTTAGTAGCTATTTTGTAGGATACTCTGAGAGGTCAAGGGGGTATAAATTTTATGATCCCACTACCAGGACTATTTTTGAGACGGGTAATGCCCGGTTCTTTGAGGATATTGAGTTTGGGGGGTGGGGAGATAAGGTTAGAGATTTTGTCTTTGAGGAAGAACATGTTACTCTTCCTTCAGTTGTCATTTAACATGATCAAGATATGTTTATTCCTAATGATGTTCAAGAAACAACTCCAGTTCATGACAATCTCGAAAACATCCCCAATCAAGTACCTGAATTTGTTAATGAGGATCAAACTCAACAACCTCAAGAACCTGAGGTGCCATTAAGGAGATCCACTCGAGAGAGGAGAAGCGCAATTCCGGATGATTATATTGTATTTCTCCTAGAACATGAGGAAAATTGGGAATTGGTGGAAGAAATAATTGTCTTCCTCCAAGAACAAGAATCAAATGTTGGTTTTGCAGAAGATGATCCAATCAACTTCCGTCAAGCCATGGAAAGTTCTAACTCTCAAGAATGGATTAATGCCATTAAAGATGAGATGAAGTCTATGAGTGACAATGACGTTTGGGAGATAGTCTCATTGCCTGAAGGTATTAAACCCATTGGTTGTAAATGGATATTTAAAATCAAGAGGTGATGGAAAGTCTACCCGGGGGTATATATCCGAAGGGTTATTACGGGGAATAACTTAGAGAGAAGTCAGAGCAAGTAAGTAAAAGTAGAGAGAGAGTGTATTCAATATGAATGCCGTTTTTAGCGTGGTAACAAATGGGGAAATGGGGTGCTATTTATAGTAGCAATAAATTCCGGGCAGGGACACGTGTCAAGCGCTCATTGGCCGAGGGGTCACCTCAACTGGTTGGCGCTGGCAGCCGCATGTGGCCGCATTTAATGCGGCTGTTGGACGGGACGTCTGTGCGGGGTACGGTGATCTGTACGCATGTGAGGCGGATATCTTGTCGACTGAGATGCCTTCGGCTATAGAGCAGTAGCCGAGGGCTCTTCCACCCGATGGCACCCTGGTGCCGAGGGCTACTGTTTTCGCTGTTTTCTCCCAGTTTCTTAATTTGCTTGAGAAACCTGTTCTGTGAGAATTTAGAGCCTTCGGCCAGGGGCCGAAGGCACCCCTGGCGCGTAGTGCGGGCTGCTTGGTACTCTGGACGCTGTGATTCGGGCCTGCTGGGCCTTCTGGGCCTGTTGGGCCTTCGCTGGAGTAGTAGGAGTCTGTGGGCTGGGGGTTCCCGGGCCATATACTCCATCAGGAGTCCCTCACTCCTTTTGCCGAAAGGTACTTGAGGGAAAAGGAGTAATTTGTGCTTGCCCTTTGATGTTGTCCTGTCATGATCTCTGAAGTTGGTGAGGAGTTGTTGCTTTTATGTCCCTGCCGAAGGCAGTCCCTCAGTTACCCACATGTCGGGACTTGAGGTCTTGCCTTGTCGTTTGTTGGAATTTCACAGATTTTGTAATTTAATGATTTTTCCGAGGGGGTCCTCCAGTCCCCCACTCCTTGAGGCACTTGTAAAGTGGTGAAAAGGAGTAAAGTAGTTACGTCGCTGCTGTGGGCCGAAGGCTGACGCTCTTCGTTTCATTTTGGGGGGATGCCTCGTTAAAAACCTCATTAGGAAAAACCCTGGGGGAAAAAATCCTAATGAGGGAAAAAGAGTGCACCGAATTCCCCCAATGATGAATCGAAAATGTCAAACCTTGGTCAAAAATGGAGAATAACGGTAATGCCGAAGGCTCTTCTTTTTATGAGGGCTCATGTATTGATCAGCCGCAGGCTTGCCGTTGATATCCTGGGGATGCCGAAGGGGAGCCCCTCAATCCAGGGATCGAGGGCCTGCTGGATAAGGGCGGCAGCAGAGTTGTTACCGGGGGGTCCACTGTTTGTTGATTAGTTGGTGATGAAGATACCCGGGGGCTCCCATTACCTGTGTGCGACGGGTTATCCGTCAATGAAGGCAACTCCCCGGGGGCTACCCGGGTTTGCAGTGCTGAGGGGGAATTCCCGAGGGGTGCCCTGATATGAAGCCTTGGGTTTCTGAAGGAGTGATCCCGAAGGCGTCTGTTATGTGCTGTGTGGGGCACAACTCGGGGGCACTTCTGGGTAAGTGTACCCGGAGGCTATCCTTGATGAAGTGGAGTGAAGTAGAAAACCCGGGGGCTTCCAGAATATAGCCGTTGGGAATATCTAACGTCAGGTTTATAGCCGTTGGGGGGGGGGGGTACACGTGTCATGTAGCCATTGGCTGCTCGCGGGCGGGCGTCACTGGTTGGGTGAAACGACGGTGCGTAATGATGGCTTTGACGGCTGGGAGCCCGGATCTCGGCCCAAGCCCGGATCTGGGAGCCTATAAATACCCCAAGCCAGGGCCATTCCTCCTTTACGCGTCCAACATCCCTAGCGAAGCTCTGCAAAAAATTCTAGAGAGAGAAACTCAAGCCTTCGGTCAAACTCTTTTCAAGGTCAGTGTCCCGCTTTCCCCTCAGCACTTTTTGTAAGTTCCGCCCTCTGGCCTTAGATTAGGGTTAGCGTCCCGTAGAAATCTTTCGAAACCTTAGGTGCTTTTCGTGGCAAGGAATGTCGTCCGAGAGCGATTCCCAAAACATATCGGGGGACCCTTCGGTTGATGAGGAGCACGCTTCAGATGTGGAGTCCGTGAGCGAGCCCTCGGACGGTGCTGATGCCGCCCTGGCCCGGGAGGTCCAGAAGGAACTCATTGCTGAGGTCGAAGCCGAGGGCTTCGAGCAGGAGTGCGAGGATGAAGACTTAGCCCTCGCATGGCAAACAGCGGAGGATGAGGCGCAGAATGAGAGCTCGAAGGTTACGATTGTTGTTCTCCCCCCTCGGGGTTCTGGGGAGGCCAGTAGCTCGAGGCCGCTAGATCCGATACCTCTGAGGGCGGTTTCCGGTTTGAAGAAGAAGAAGGCCGCTACCAAGAAGAAGGAGAGGGCCGTCGATCAAGGAAAGCCCGTGGACATGCCCGAGGGGTACAGTTGGCTGAACACTGAGGCCCTCGAGATTAGGTCGAAGGCTGATAGAGCAGATCTGTACGTGACTCAGCTGCAAATGTAACACCCCGCCCCATAGGGCCCAAGGTAGTTACTCCTGACCTCTAGTACTGTCCTCACAAACCACCACGAGCCTTTACCGCGCACTTTGTCCTCACTCATGCGCGCCCTGAGAAACTTCCCAGGGGGTCACCCATCCCAAGACTACTCTCGTGCAAGCATGCTTAACTTTGGAGTTCTTGAGTGATGAGCTCCCTTAAAAGGAGATGCACCTCTGTTGGTATGAGTAGTACTATTAATCCTCTTAAATTAATCTCGGGTATTACAATCACCCCCACTTAGGATCGCAACGTCCTCGTTGCGCCCTTAAACCAATCTCAATAAAACCCCAGAATCTTGCCCCGCTAAGTGCCCGCCCGATATCTAACGGGTCAGCACACTGTCGCAGGGTTGCTCTGATACCACCTGTAACACCCCGGGGCCCCATAGGCCCCGAGGTAGTTACTCTAGACCTCTAGTACTGTCCTCACAAACCACCACGAGCCTTTACCGCGCACTTTGTCCTCACTCATGCGCGCCCTGAGAAACTTCCCAGGGGGTCACCCATCCCAAGACTACTCTCGTGCAAGCACGCTTAACTTTGGAGTTCTTGAGTGATGAGCTCCCTTAAAAGGAGATGCACCTCTGTTGGTATGAGTATTACTATTAATCCTCTTAAATTAATCTCGGGTATTACAGCACGTGGGGCCCTCGGCCGAAGTGGTGGAGCCAGGTCCCGACGACGTGTTGTCCAGGGCGCCCGAGGGGTGTATCGCCATTCACGTCCTCTCGGTTTCTATGGGACTTAGGTTCCCTCTGCACCCGTTCCTCCGGGAGTATTTGAGGTTTGTTGGTTTGGTCCCCTGCCAACTCACGCCCAACAGCCACTCCTACATTGCGGGGTTCCTCCAGCTCTGCAAGTCCCGAGGGGTGAAGCCCAGCCTGGATCTATTCTTCCAGAGCTTTAATTTGTGCCGGGGGGGCACGAAAACGGAGAGGGGTACGCAAACCTGCAACAGATTGCCCGCTTCAAGCTATTCTCCGATGCTCCTTCTTCCAACAAAGGATGGAGGGAACGTTGGTGCTACGTAACGTTGGGTGAGAGCCCATTCCCGAGGGAGCTGCGTGATCGATTCCGAAGGCACGAAAAAATCAGGAGTGCTGCTCTCGAGAAAGACGGCCTAAAGCTGGCCAAGTTCCCGGAGGGGAAAAATAAGAACGTGGCGATCAAAGACTGCACCCTCGAGGAGGATTTATATACCCTCGGGTTCCGGAGGTACCGCTTCATAGGGGAGACCGATGAGAAGTACCCTCCCTTCAACAAGGCCTTCGGAGGAGCCGGAGGTAGGAGCCGAGGGCTTTAGAATTCTATACTTAGTTTTCTTTTTGCTTGGATGTCATTGTCCCTTCGCTTAGACCCGTCGGCCTAACCATTTGTCATATTTTTTGCAGGTATCCCCGTCTCCATGGTGAACGTGAAGGGCCTCGCTCGCCTGAAGAAACAGGACCCGAAGGGGTCGGGACAGGGCAGCCAGAAGCCCGCCACTGCCCTCTTCAAGAAAGCCGAGGGCGATGCTGCTGCCGGCAAGAGGAAGGCGGCGACCAAGGGGTCCCCCCCGGCTACCAAAAAGCCGAAGAAGGGGGATATCGCCGAGACGGAGCCCCCGGTCATCATTGCTGATGAGCACCCCGCCTCCGGGGTGCATGTGGAGAAGCCATCGGATGAAACGCCGGCGGGGGCAGAGGAGTTGCTGCCTGAGGTCCTCCAAGTTTCGTTCCCGAGGGGGACATCCCTGGCCAGCGGCGCTGTTGACCCGGGGGCCATCTTGAGGGGCATAACCCCTGAAACTGATAGGGCTGCCCTCGGGGCCTATAACGATGCGGCCCTCGAGGACCACATTCTCCGCTCCTCCCTTTCTGTAAGTGTTTACTCGGCTTTCTTCCTTTTCTCCTTTGATTATACTGTGCAATTGCCTTTAACCGTTTTGGTTGTTGGTCTGCAGGCTTGTCTAGCCCTCGGTGAACATGCCCGGAGGCTTCAAGAATGGCGCCTCCATAAAGCAGAGCAGGATGCCAAGATGAAGGAATGCATCCTCAAAAATAAAGAGGCGGTGAAGCTGGGGGCTAGGCTGGAAGAGGAGCTTCGGCAAATGGAGCTGAGATTGGAGGCCGCAGAGAAGGGCAAGGCTGATGCTGAGGCCGCTGCTGAGGAGGCCAGGAGAGCTGCCAAAGAGGCCGAGGACTCCAAGGCGCTAGCCGTCGCCAAGGCTCGGGAGGAAGCCGTTGATGCCTTCGTCGCCGAGGGCTGGAGGGCCGAGGGACGCAAGATGTGGCTGTCCTCGGTCGTGGAGGCATACGTCGAGGAATGGGCCGAGGGACCCGGGTGGGAATGGATGGCCCGGAAGGGCAGAGAATATTATGAGGCCGGCGAATTCTTCACCCAGGCCCTCATCTACCGGAGGATGGCTCGGCATTTGGGCATTGAGCAAAAGGATTTCTCCCCCTCGGCGTATGGCCTTCCTCCCCTGCAGCCTGATGTTCGTGAGTCGCTCCCGGAAGGTGTACAGAGGCCCGATCTTGAGGACACGGAGTTGAAGAATGAGGCCGAGGACAACGCTGTCGAGGCCGGAGCGGAGGCATCATCGAGGCCGGCTGCAGAGGGCACCCCGGTGAATGATGTTGTTGTAGTTGTAGAGTGATTTTGTACTTAGAAATCCTTGAACATATTTTGTAATGAACAACATTGATCCTTCGGCTTCGGCCTGTTTGTAAATTTCACACTCACTTTGTTTTTGATGAATGCATGCTGCCCCCGGGCTCTTTACATTTGAATGCGCCTTATGTTTTGAATGTATGCCTTCTACTTCTTGAATGTATGTTGTAGGACTTAGAGTATTTTCTGATTGTAGCTTGCCCTTGGAAGCCTTCGGTAGTTGGGCACCCTCTGATGTGTGAATATTGGACCGAGGGCCCAATGTTCAGGACTTAGAAAATCTTTGCAAGTGTAGCATGTCATGTAGCCTTCGGCTACTGTGGAGCCCCAACTGAAATATTGATTAGGCCGGGGGCCAATTCTTTAGGACTTAGAAAATTCTCTTCAACGTTGATTCCTTGTGTATTGTAGCCCTCGTTGATAGGCAGCCTTTGGCTATTGGGTCCCTTTATAAGTTGAAGGTGAAACATGTAGGGCTTAGAAAGATTTCTAAGTGCAGTTTCTCTTGGGAGCCTTCGGGAGATGGCACCCTCCATGATGTATGAGCAGTTGATCGGGGGGGAAATATGTAGGTCTTAGAAAATACTCTAAGTGTATATTTTCCCTTGGGAGCCTTCGGGAGATGGCATCCCTCCTTGATGCATGAGTAGTTGACCGGGGGGAAAACATGTAGGACTTAGAAAATATTCTAAGTGTATATTTCCCCTTGGGAGCCTTCGGGAGATGGCATCCCTTATTGGTGCATGAGTAGTTGACCGGGGGAAAAACATGTAGGACTTAGAAAATATTCTAAGTGTAGATTTTCCCTTGGGAGCCTTTGGGAGATGGCATCCCTTCTGAATCCACATCACTTTGCGAGATGCCCGGGGGCTGCTCATCTAGGACAGAATATTTTTTAAGCGTTGTTGTATTGCCTGGCCTTCGGCTACCATATTCCCTTAGCAGTAATATTGATTGGGCCGGGGGCCCAATCTTCAGGACTTAGAATTTTTTGCAAGTGTAAAGTGATGTCAAGCTTCCGGATGTAGAGCCTTCGGGTGATAGGTGGCTTCTGACTCTACATTATTTTGCGAGATGCCCGGGGGCTGCTCATTCAGGACTTAGAATATTTTCTAAGCATACATCGATGTTGAATCCTGTTGCTGTGAAGAAAGCCAATGAGGAGTGTGTGCCCTCGGCATACACTTTAAAAGTTGTAGAATTTGACCCTTGTCATGGGGAAAGGGCCCTCGGTACTAGTGCGTAACAGATGCCTTTGGTATATGTTTGAAGGTACCGTCTTAGTGTACTTTGGACTTAGCCGTTTCTCGATGCTATTTGTTCGAGTAGTATCCTTCGGGAAATAGGAGCCTTCAGTTACCGGAGGTGTTCCCGTGGGGAGCCCTCGGCATGTTGTGATCTGTTGGAGTGTACTCTTTGATTTCTCGCTGAGTCTACTCCCCTTCACCCCCTATTTTTTTTTTTGGTTGGTGGTGAAGGGAAGGCATCAAGAAACTTGGTTTCTTGGTAAGGCTGGGCCTATTAGGAGACCATCAGAATACACCAATGGCTCTCCTCCCTCGGGTTAACCTTCCGAGTTCCGAGGGGATCGAGGGACGTTTCCTGGGCGCAAGATATGGTGGTCCGTAACCTGCCTCCCCTTGGGGGATGGCGCGGAAAGCGCCTCATTTTTGAAAGTCGTCCCCTCGGCGCTAGACATAGTCCGTGGCCTGCCACACCCTTGGGGTGGTGGCGCGGGGAGCGTTTCGGTTTGGAAGTCGAATCCTGGGCATTTCTCATGCCTGTCATACCCTGGGGGTAGTGACGCGGATAGCGTTCCGTTTTTGAAAGTCGAATCCTGGGCATTTCTCATGCCTGTCATACCCTGGGGGTAGTGACGCGGAAAGCGTTTCAAGGAAGGGTTTTCATTTGCACACTAGTTGCAAATGGCCGGGGGCACTACGTGTCGCCGGCACCGATGGTGGCGCCTTCGGTATATGCGTCCTCGTGGGGTACGGCTTTTAGAAACAACACTTGGTGTTAGTTTCGATGTGTAGCCCCCGGTACTTGGTACCGAGGGGTCTTCTGTAGGAACACTTGGTGTTCTCTTTTGTTGTAGTTGATGTAGGCGTCTACCCTCGGTACTTGGTACCGAAGGGTCTCCAAATGAAACACTTGGTGTTTCCCAACAGATGTTTGGAAGTTGATAGGAGAGCATATCCCTGGCACTGGGTGCCGAGGGGTCTTCTTTGAAACATTTGGTGTTTTTTCTTCGTTTCGATGTTTGATGACGGAGGTGTACCCTCGGTACTGGGTGCCGAAGGGTCTTCTATAGGAACACTTGGTGTTCTCATCTTTTTCTTTTTTGATGTTGAAGGGGGGGATGTACCCTCGGCACTGGGTGCCGAAGGGAAATGAATTACATGGCGTTCTTTGTTGTTGGTGACAGGAGTTCCCTCCCTCGGTACTTGGTACCGAGGGGTCTTGAGAGAAAACATGTGGTGTTTTCACTGTTGTTGCAGGTGTCGATGGTGTCCGCCCTCGGCACTTGGTGCCGGAGGGGGTTCCTCTCGTCGTGAGGCCGGGGGCCTGTAGTCAGTATGAGGGCTTGATGTCTTGAATGTATCTTCATTCTTCGAAATTGGAGGCCTTGGGCCATAGGATAGTACATTCACTAGTTATGAGGGCTTGGCCGCTCTTACATTATTGATAAAACTTGACCAAATGGTGTACATTCCAATGCCTAGGGACTTCTTTCCCGTTGGGGCGTTTGAGCTTGTAGGTCCCAGGTTTGATGATGGCTTCTATGATGTAGGGGCCTTCGAATTTTGGTGCCATTTTTCCTCCCTCGGTTGGTTGGCTGGCTTCCCTCCTCCGGAGGACATAGTCCCCCACTTGAAATTCTTGGGTGCGAACTTTAGCGTCGATGTAGCTCTTAACTTGCCTTCGGTAGTTTTCTGCCCGGATGAAGGCCTGCTCCCGGCGTTCTGAAATGAGGTGGAGGTCGAGGACCATGTTGCTGTCGTTGACCTCGGGGTCATATTGGATCACCCTTCGGGTGGGAAGGGTGACTTCCGTAGGAGCTTTGGCTTCAAAACCGTAGCAGAGGGAGAAGGGTGTTTCACCTGTTGCTCGCCGAGGGTGGTGCGATAGGCCCAAAGGATGTTGTGGAGTTCTTCCACCCAGCCACCACCCTCGGCCTCCAGCTTCTTTTTGAGGCCCTCGAGCAAGGTCCGGTTGGCGTTCTCTACTTGCCCGTTGCCTTGAGGGTAGGCAACGGAGGAGAAGGTGTGTTTGATGCCCCATGCCTCCAGAAGGGCACAGAAGGGGGCTGCCTCAAATTGTGTCCCATTATCGGAGATGATCTGCTGGGGGACGCCAAACCTTGTGAGGATGTTCTTGAGGACGAAGTGACGGCACTTCGCCTCTGTGATGCTGGCGAGGGGTTCAGCCTCCACCCACTTGGTAAAATAGTCGACGGCCACAATGATGTATCTGTTGTTGGAGGTACCCCTCGGCAGAGGGCCCACAAGGTCTATCCCCCATCGAGAAAATGGGACAGAGGTGCTGATGGGGGCATAGTTGACCGCTGGCCTGCCGGGAGCTTTCTGGAAATGTTGACATGCGGTGCACCTCCGGGCAAGGTCAGCACAATCCCTGGCCATGGTTGGCCAGAAGTAGCCCTGGAGAATGAGCCTTCGGGACATGGAGAAGGGTCCCTGGTGAGCTGAGCAAGTGCCACTGTGCACTTCCTCCATTGCGACCTCGGCTTCATCTGGATGAAGGCACCGAAGTAGCGTGCCATTGTAAGATCGTTTGTAGAGCCTTCCATCTTCGATGGTGTAGCTGGGAGCCCTCAGCTTTGCCAGTTTAGCGCGGGCCTCATTCTCGGGTAGCTGCCCTGTGGAGATGAAGGCGGTGATATCTGAGATCCAATCCTCCTGACGTTGTTGTATGTTCATAACGGGGCTTGCATGGATGCTTGAGAGGTTGAGTTCCTCGATTTTGGCAATTTTGGAGATGTGCTCGGGGGAGTCGGCCGAGAGCTTAGATAATATGTCGGCCTCGGAGTTCTGAGCCCTCGGTATTTGAGTAAGAGAGTGTGCCTCAAATACCTTAAGCAACTCCTTGGCCGCTTCCTTGTACTGTTTCATTCTCCCCTCCTTGGCCTCATATTCTTCGGAGATTTGGCCAACGACCAACTTGGATTCGCATTTGATGTGGATCTGTCGAGCCCTCATGTTGGCAGCCAGCCGAAGGCCACATAGGAGGGCCTCATATTCGGCCTCATTGTTGGAGACTTTGAAGGAGAAGCGGATTGCATAGTAGGCCCTGAAGCCCTCGGGAGTAATGAGGACTACCCCTCCCCCGCATGCTTTGGTCGCGGAGGAGCCGTCAGTGTAGAGGGTCCACCAGTCGTCCGAGGTATCCGAGGGCTCCCCGTCCGTGGCTGCCCTTGCGGTACATTCTATCACAAAGTCCGCCAGGGCTTGGCCCTTGATGGCAGGCCTTGGACGGATGTCAATGTTGTACTGGCTCAAGAAGATAGCCCATTTCACCATGCGGGAGGAGCTGGTGGGGCTCCTCATGAGGGCGCCGAGGGGTTGATGGGTGAGGACCTGAACTGGGTGAGCCTGAAAGTAGTGGCCCAACTTCTTGACAGTCCAAACGATGGCTAACACCGTTTTTTCCACAGGGGAGTACCTGAGCTCGGCCTCCCTTAGGGTCTTGCTAACGTAGAAGATGGCAGGTTGGATGTCGTCTTCCTCCCGGATGAGCACAGAGCTGATGGCCGCCGGGCTAACCCCAAGGTAGAGGTAGAGGGTCTCCCC